GGTGGGAAGATATTTTAGAAATTTAGAACATTAAGAAGATATAGATATTCCATACTTTGGTTATGGGCTTTCATTAATTAAACAAATGTTTAATGAGCCCCTGTTGTCTTTCCCAGGCCAGGAATTTAATAGTTACGTTTTTCTTGACTTATGAGTAATTCTAGTCTAAGAGAGAGCTAGCCATATACATAACTGTAAAACAAAGACTGGAATAAGTACGATTAAAAGATCTGTATAAATCGTTTTAGTTGACTTAATTTAAATGCTGAATAATTTGGTACCTTCATATACTTAGTTCTTTGTTAAAAAAAATGAACTGACTTCAAGGAAATTTTACTTAGCGTATTGATAAAGGGTTTATGCACACAGAGATATCTAGAATATGTAGAATACTAGTTGTTCACTTGTTTTTAGTCACTACATTTATTGGATTGGATTGCTACGGAAGCCTTTTTCAGAGTTTTACTCTGTTGCCCTCAGTAGAGTACAGTGGCATCATTGTAGCTTACAGCAACCTCAAACTCCTGGGCTCAACTAAACTTGCCTCAGTGTCCTCAGTAGCTGGGGACTATAAGAGCCCAGCTAATTTTTCTTTTTCTTTTTTTTTTTTCAGTAAAGACAGGGTTTTTGCTCCTGTTCAGGCTGGTCATGAACTCCTGAGCTCAAGTAATCCTGCCTCAGCCTCCCAGAATGCTAGTATTACAGGCCTGAGCCACTTTGCCTTCCCAAAAAAGTTTTTAAAAATTTTAATTCATGCATTTACAGATCTTGGTATCTTTACTGAAGCCTACATATAAGAGCAAAGCATAAATCCCAGTAAGGTTACTATATTTTTTCTAAAATTTATTTTTCCATTAGAAAAATTATTTAACAAATCTATATGGCCCTTACTATATACCAGGCTCTGCTCTACATGTTTAATATATATTAATGTACTTAATCCTTATCACAAGCAAATGAGATAGGAACCTTTATTATCTCCACTTAAGAAGAAAACTAGCTTGCCCAGAGTCCTACTTCTAGTAAATTAGTCAGTTAGGAGTCAAGAAATCTGGCTTCAGAGACTTACTAGATTGGTAAGACTTATTACGGTAAGTAGCCATTTGTCTCTCCTGGAACTTAGTAGAACTGAGGTAGGTGTCGGAACGAAATGATTTGTCTCAGTCATGCATTGTAACTCTCAGAGAACTGCGTAAATGCAGAACATGTCAAGATAAGGACAGGCCTCCACATACACTTTATCCTACTGCCTTAGAATGTATTTATGTAAAAGTCCATTTTTAGATGCTGGGGAACTAAATTATATTAAGTACTAATTTCTGTCTGAGTGAAACGAGTATATTTATAGAC